CAAGCCTTATAAAAGAGGCCGGTTTTCCTCCCGGTGTGGTTAACGTTGTGCCCGGTTATGGACATACAGCCGGTGCCGCATTGACTGAGCACCTGGATGTCAATAAGATTGCATTCACCGGATCCACGGAAGTGGGAAAACTGATCCAAATCGCGGCCGGGAAGTCAAACATGAAACGCGTGACTCTGGAAACGGGCGGCAAATCACCGCTTATTATCTTCGACGACGCGGACATCGATGAAGCCGTTGTCACTGCTGTCTGTATTTTACTAACAATTTAAATATATTTTTATTAAATGTTGTTAATGTTATGAATCGCATAGCATTCGACAGTTTTTGCAAATTCAGGTCAGATTTGTTGTGCGCCCACAAGACTCTACGTTCAGGACACCATTTACGACACGTTTGTCGAAAAGGCCGTAGAATTAGCTCAGAAGCGAGTGGTCGGTGACCCCTATGAGGCCCACACACAACAGGGCCCTCAGATAGACGGCACACAGTTTGACAAAGTGTTACAACTTATAGACACCGGTCGTAAAGAAGGCGCAAAACTATTGACTGGTGGCCAGAGATGGGGAACCAAAGGCTACTTCATTCAGCCGACGGTGTCAGTCATATATATATATATATAAAATATACTGTAATTAAAAATGTCTATTGTATTGATAACTTAAACATAACTTTCAAATCAGTTTCGGTGACGTGACGGACAACATGACTATAGCCCGGGAGGAGATCTTCGGACCCGTGCAGTCCATCTTCAAGTTTAAGACATTGGAGGAAGTGATTGAAAGGGCTAATGACACGACCTATGGGTTAGCTGCCGGTGCCTTCACTAAAGACGTGAACAAAGCACTGGTATTGAGTCAGGCATTGGAGGCNTATAGCCCGGGAGGAGATCTTCGGACCCGTGCAGTCCATCTTCAAGTTTAAGACATTGGAGGAAGTGATTGAAAGGGCTAATGACACGACCTATGGGTTAGCTGCCGGTGCCTTCACTAAAGACGTGGACAAAGCACTGGTGTTGAGTCAGGCATTAGAGGCCGGGTCTGTTTGGATCAACACTTACATGGCTTTCGGCCCTCAGATACCGTTTGGTGGATACAAACAATCGGGTTTTGGCCGAGAGTTGGGTGAAGAGGCTCTACACGAGTACATCGAAATCAAATCGGTATTCATTTGACTCATGTTTTCATTATTTATTTATAAATGTGTTTATAATTAAATTTTGTTTGCATAGGTTGTCATCAAAACGGATCAGAAGATTTCCTAAAAAATAATGTTTTTAAAAAACAAAAATTTGTTTTTCACATTTGATTGATAAATAAATGAAAATATGATAACTTTTTTTTATTTTTTAAATGTTATTTTTAGTATATTTAAATATCTTTTGACAAATATTAAAATTATTTATAGTTAATATTATACAAATATAAATATAAATCCAACGCATAGTAACCATTATATTGATCATCAAATACTATTATTATAATATAATAATATATTATATTATTATTATAAGATAAATTGTTGCATTAAAAAAATATACTTTGCACACTAGACTAGTTCATATGTTCTTATAAACATTTTAAAATTATTACATTTATACGATTAGATTTTACGTTATGTTATATAACAGTAAAAATAACCCAAACAGGTGATAAATAATAATGAGATAATAAAATAAAATTATTTTTAAATATTGATAATTAACGGGAGACTAAACAGACAAAGCAAAAAATGTATATGTAATATTTTATCTTATCTCTTACCATTTTATATTATCTCTATCGTATTAGTAATACGGTATTACAATTAAAAACTTTGTATATGGGTACATAATAGCTACATGATTATTTTATTCGAGACCACTGTTACTAACGTTAAATGGTGTTCGGGTCATTGAATTAAGTAATAAAAATGTTAAATTAATATAAAAATGACATTTTTTGATAAAATATTGTTTTACTGTACTATCAAAGGAATTAAACACTTAAACAATCTGTATAAAGTTTTAACATAGTAACAGTTTTACCATTTGTCAAAAAATTGTTAATCAATGCCCTGCATAATAAATTAATAATAATAATCTTCCCAGACACTCTGAGACAAAATAACAATAATCTTGAAAAATTGCTTTAAATATTTCATGTCGAAAATATGGCATGATATTCCATGGTATGATAATTAGTCTGGATTTTATTTACACTTATATTCTTAAACAATTATTATCTTCATTGATGAAATTATCAGTCAAAAACAATTGGAAACTAGTAAATGTCTAATAAACAACCAAAAAACTATAATCCAAAGTATGGGAAAAGTTTTCATATAAATAGGAGTGAGTTTCACTCCGAAAAGTATCACAAAATAAAACTTCAGTTTTGAGTTTGTTTTGAGATTATTATTAAAAGTCTTTCAAAAAGTCTTTCTATACTTACTTTAATTACTTTAAAAGTAATACAAAACTTCATTCAATTACAATGAATCGCAGTAACGAAGTCAAATTCACCCAG